AGGTCGAGGAGGGTGGGACGGGGTGGGGTGGAGGCGTGGGCTTCTGGGGAGGGGTCCAGCCAGCAGGTCGGGGCACCAAGCCGGGCACCCACAGCTGTGGGCAGGGCCACCCGCAGCGCGCTCAGAGGTGCCTGGAAAAGTGACTCATATGGGAGGGTCTCTTCCTTGTGGGCCCAGCTGAGCGCCTACCCCCCATTTTTGGGGGGCTCATGGAGCCTCCTCCTGGGACGCAGGGGCGGTGGGCGCTCTGACAGGCCGAAGCCCTGCCGCCCTGTGGATAGAGGACAAGGACAAGGACATGGCGCCGAGTGTGGGACAGGCGGCAGCTCTTCCTTCCCCGCAGGCGGCACACGCGTCTTTATATTTAGAGAACAGGCTGGCCAAGGCCAGTCCACCTTGGAGTCACCATCAGCAGAGGCTGGAGCGCTTCTATTTATACCGCCTCGGGGAGATGCTTCCAAACTTCCTGGGGTTTGGATCTGCCTGTGGGAAGGTGGAGTGGGGGTCACGGGAGGTCAGGAGGGCGCAGCCTGCCTCACATTCTCTCTCCCCCCTCACCCCTCCACCCCCGCAGGACAAGGACAGTCCTAACCCCGCTGTGGGTGCACAAGGAGAAGCAATCTTCGGGGATGAACTCAGTGGCGTGCTTTTGGGGGATACATCAGTGATGGGGCGCAGGCCAGAACGGAATGGTTCATTTTTCTCAAGTGCCTACATGTTCCCGAAATAGTCGCCATTCCCATTGGGGAGTGGAGCTGGCAGCTGGGACAGGTGTGGGCCCTCCGGGATATAAAACACCCTGAGGGTGGCATTTCCTAAAAATGACCCAAGTCAACTCGAGAAGGAGTGCGGTTAGTGCAAAGGTCGTCAGTTCAAAGCTACTATGGTTTCATATTTCGCCTTTAAAAAAAACATGTTATTTGGGTCCTATTTCTCTCTCTCTTTTTAAATAGGAAAGCTTGTTTATTTATTTTTTAAAAATATATTTTATTTTTTTACAGAGAGGAAGGAAGAGGGATAGAGAGTTAGAAACATCCATCAGCTGCCTCCTGCACACTCCCTACTGGGGATGTGCCCGCACCCAAGGTACATGCCCTTGACCGGAACCGAACCTGGGACC